GTAGCGTTTTTAACAGAAGTCCTGTAGAAACAGTTCTTATCTGGGACCTGGACAGCATGAGCGCCTCCTCTCCTTTCGAGGTCTTCCTGGCGCTGTGGGGTCTGGCCAGTTTGACCAAAGTCATCTCATCCTTGCACCTGTGAATTTCTGTATTGGGCGTGTCTGCAGTGAAGGGAGTGGGGTTACAAAGTTTAACCTGAGAGTTTCAGGAATTTGGTTCAGGGATGGCTTGTTTCTACACTCTTTAGCAAAAGGGTTAATTTTTCACATTGCTTTTTCTAGAAAAAGCACCTGAAGTGCTTTTATCACGTACCTGGGAATGCTCAGCGACTCAGCTTGGAGTTCACTCCTGCAGGTGGGAAACATGCACCTGTCCAACCCAAGAGCAGTCATGCGCTTTGTCTCTCTCTCAGGAACAAAGAAAGAAGTGGGGGAGACCGGTCGGCCCTAGAGACTGGCTCCGCCTCTTCTGTGTTTGTGGGACAGGATGCTGGGAATAGCTCCCTCAGTAACCCGCCCGCCCACACTCCAGCACTAAGCCACCTTCCCGGTTCGCTACAAGAAACTCTTCCATGTCCTTCACTCATCTCCTGCTTTGACAAGGTTTATCACTAGATATTCTTTAGGACGTCAGGAATTCGGATAAGATGCTCTTAAGAGAACACTTGCCCAGCAACAGCATCTCCTCCAATGGACTGACAGCAACTCTGGCTTTGAACCTCTGGAACCAGGGAACTCTGTTTCTAAGCAGCTCTGTCAGTCGCTTTGGTACATCAGGTTTTGGTACATGTAGGGAATACTGAAACGAATTCCCTGTGTATCCCAAGAAACAACTCTACCGAGACATATTCTCTAGGGGTTTATTTTTGTTTTTGTTTTAGGTTAAAGTCTTGGATAGAACACCCAGTGTTTCCTTGTTCATCTGAAGAACATGCTGCTATGTGGAAGCACATCCTTGAGGTCCACAAGTAGACACTGGGCAAGGAGACAAGGACTCCCTACAGTACGGAAGTCCCCTTAATAAATGCTCTATGAACACTCTGGTGTTTAGTGCTTCTTTCTTTGGAATCCCAGCAGCTCTGTCACTGGATGGTTTGGTGCACTCCCTGGAGGGAATTCTCCTGGGCTGCTTGGGGTCCACTCCAGTCTCAGGTGTGGCTGGATGGATGCAGCCTCCCACCTTGGTCTGGAGCCCTCAGCTCCTCACTGTCATTGCAAATCCCGAGATTCCTCTCCCAGTTCCACTCAGTGGTGGAAACCTCAACCGTAATGACCCCTTCATGGTCCCAGGACCCTGTGGCATCTCATCTCTGGCTTCTGTTCTTTGTTGTTGATCCGTCTACACTTGGGAACTTCCACACGTCTTTTTCTGCTCATGACATTGATGCTCTGGGTATTTCAGAAATGCCTGATGTACATTTCTCCATTAGGGTCAGATGCGACATCTGAAGTGGAGACATCAATCACCTTCACAGACTATGGAGTCCAACACCAAGATCCTCTCATGTCCCAAGCACCTCAGGTCTTACCCTGGTCTGGAAATCAGGCAGAAATGAGCCCCTCCCAATGTCCAGGCACCACTCACCCCACAACCACGGTGATGAGTGGAATTCATGACAGCAGTCTGCAAAGGAAGAAGCTGAGGTTCAGAGACGGGACACTGAAGGTGACATAGGCAGTGGATGACAACCAGTCATCAAATAAGTATCAACTCCCTCCTCAACTCCTCAAATCAAAACAACATAAGTCATTGTTCCCAAAATGTTGACCAAGAATTGAGGTGCAGAGGGACGGCCAAGGATGCAAGGGGCACCGAGGAGGCAGGAAAGACTCAGAGGTTTGTTTCAGGGGGGTAGGGGTGGACACTGTAGCAAAATATTTTAAAAAGGAGAAGTTGAGAAGGAGACTATTTGGCTGAAAAAAACCCACAATCCCGTGCCAAGAGAGAAGTCAACTTTTCTTCCCCTATTTCCCTGCATTTCTCCTCTGTGCTCACTGCCACACACAGCTCAGCCTGGACTGCCCAGTCAGGTGTCACGTGCGTCTCTGCTGATCTGAGTCTGCCTGCAGCATGGACCCGTGTCTTCCCTGAAGCATCTCCAGGGCTGAAGAGACGACTCCCATGGTAAGGACCCCACAACACCGTGCTGATGGACAGGCTGAAGGAGGGAGGGAGACCTTGGGGGAGGCTGTGAGAAGGAAGGAAAAGGCTTGGCTCACCCTGATCAGGAAGGGCACATACAGGAAGGCACCAGTTCTACTTGTTGCTATCTCCCAGGCCTTAGTGAAATGAGGACAAACCAGACAGACAGTGGCTGGGGGTCAGGAAACACCCCATTTCTGTCTGAACTGTCTACAGAGGGTCTGGTGCCTGCCCCAACCTCAGACCTAAAGGAATGACAGCCAGGCTCCTGGGAAGGGCAGTTCCACTTCCTGTGTGGCTGCAGATGACAAAACTCCATGAGAAGAATGACCCAGACTCTGAGTGGCCACACCCTGTGTGTCTCTGTCCTGCCAGCACCGGGAGCTCATCCATCTGCAGAGCAGGGCAGTGGGAGGAGACGCCATGACCCCCATCCTCACGGTCCTGGTCTGTCTCGGTGAGATTTGAAGAGGGACGGGAGATTCTAACCTAGGAGGGGCCTCACCCTACAGCCAAACTCTGGTGCATAAGGAGACCCCAGAGGTTCACAAAGATCCCAGGGAGGGGAGGACCTGCTCAGGCTTCAGGGGCAAATCTCTCACAGGGAACTCTCTTCCAGGGCTGAGTCTGGGCCCCAGGACCCACGTGCAGTCAGGTGAGTCTGTCCCCGGCTGTCCCAGGTCCCTCCTCCTCACTGGGGACAAGGGGCCTCCTCCGTGCAGCTGGAGATGGAGAATAGCAGTCCTGGGCTGACTGATGGGGGCATCTGGAGGGTCCTGCAGCCAATAGCTGAGATCTGTCGGGTGGGAAATGACTTAGAATCCGATCTCTGATTTCCTTTTAGGAATCCTCCCCAAGCCCACTCTCTGGGCTGAGCCAGACCGTGTGATCACCCAGGGGAGTCCCGTGACCCTCAGGTGTCAGGGAAACGTTGAAGCCCTGGAGTATCGTCTATATAGGGAGAGAAAATCAGCATCCTGGATTACATTGGTACGACCAGAGCTTGTAAAGAAGGGCCAGTTCCCCAATCCATCCATCACCTGGGAAGACGCAGGGCGGTATCGCTGTCAGTATTACAGCCACAGTTGGTGGTCAGAGCTCAGTGACCCCCTGGAGCTGGTGGTGACAGGTGAGAGGACACTCAGGGGTCCCAGCCCCAGGCTCTG